CCAACTTCCTGTGTGACTTGGGCAAGTCATTTGACTTCTTTGTGCCTATCTGTAATGTAGGAATGATAACACTTCTTTTCTCCCACCCTTTCCTTGTCTTGTCTAGTTAGACTAAGCCACTTGGGGCAGGGCTTGTCTTTTACAATACTTGTCGGTACTGTGCCTAGCAAAATGGGGCCCCAGTCTTTGTTGGAACATCTAGACATTGCTGTAATAAAAATATTAATAAGGAGATTGCTATGTGAAGAAAATCAACCCATCCTCCTCCAGCGATTTTTCTGATGCCAATGGAGTCCTAATGATCTTCCTGACAATTCAGTTATCCCTTTAATTCCTTTCTCCTAAGATATACCATGGCCCTGTGTCGTCATGTAGACTTCCCCAGGGTGCCCCCTCATGACCTCCAAGTGGCCCTACAAGCAAGCTCTTGGTCAATTTCCTCCTTCAAGGGGTTTCTTCTTCAATTACTCATAGAATCTTTTGTCCACTCACACCACTTCATGAGTTCTGGTTTATTAAATTAACTTTCAAAACAAAGTTCTCAAGTCTCTCCTCAAGTCCATCCAGTTACCTTCTTATCGGGTCAGCCCCGAGGCCTTTCCTTCCTGTAGTCTGACTTCACAAGTCCCAGGTTTCTCTGCTGGAGCCTACTCATTTCTAGCACCTTCTGTACTCCTGCTCTGTTTCTCTCCATCTCCACTCTGGTTTCCCTGGAGATTTTCTCTCTGCAGCTTCCAGCTGCTCTTTAAAGGGGAATCAGTTGATCTCTGCACAGGTGATTGAAGGGACAAGCCAGCCTGTTACACCCTGAAACTGGCTAAGAGGAAATGGAAAGACTTCTTTTTATAGTCCTTCAAAAACACTCCCTTATTTAATTCAGTAATTCACAAAATGCCTATGCTCATGACAACTAGGTGTTTCATACAAAAAGGTAAAAGCTTATGATAGAATCATAGAAATGTATGACTGGAAGGGACCTTGAGAAGTCATCTTGTCCAGTCCCCTGCACTGAGGAAGGATCAAGTAGACCTTGACCAAGTAGACCTTTACCAACCCTGATAGATGACAGATGCTAGGGATTCAACAACCTCCCTTGGAAGCCTGGTCCAGTACCTAACCATCCTTCTAGTTGGAAAGCTCTTCCTAATATGTAACCTAAAACTCCCTTGCTGCAGATTAAGCCAATTTCCTCTTGTCCTGACTTCAATTGTTCTCCATGTCCACTGATCACCATCCTCTTTATAATATCTTCTTAACTTATCTGAAGACTTATCAGGCCCCACCTCAATCTTCTTTTCTCAAGACTAAACACCCCCAGGTTTTTTAGCCTTTCTTCATAATCCCGCCAAATAAACCACCCACAATAGGTAGCACAAGTTAAATCACCACCGTTGGTGGCATTGAAAACACTGACAGCCAAAGGAAATGGAATTAACAAAACAAAAATACAAATCCATCAAAAGCTAAATAAAATCAGTCCAGCATGCATTATGTCTGGAAGACCATCAAACTAGTGGTCTGGCAGGCTGTGAATGCCAAACTGGAGCCCTTTCTTCTAAGAAAGCTCTGCCACCAATCCTAGAGAGTTCACTACCAGGGACAGAGAGAATCTCAGCTGATGTATAGGGTGAGAGGCAGACTCTCAGACAACAGGGTCATAAGACATTCTGACACTCCTTGTCGGTTAGTTATTCATGAACTGTAAAAGCATTTCCCTGCCCCATGGAGATGAAAGCAACACCAATACACTTATAGTGCACAGCTAACTTAAGGAGAGCAAGAAGTGAGGTCTGAAAAGGAAGATGATGTCCTCGGCATGCTGGGGACGAGTAATGGCACATAACTGGGGGGCTAACTTAAATCACAACCCTTTCTATGATTTCCCTGTCCCATTTCTAAGATGCACACCCTCCCTTGCATAGCTTAGTACACCCCAGGTATCTGTATAGTTTCTGAATGCTGATTTTGTGTAGTAATAAAAGAAAAGCCTATGAGAGGCAGAGAGTTTTAAGGTCACCAACGTGCAGAGAAAACAGAGTCTTAACTAATTTACTCAAGAAAATGATCAGACCAACAGAGGAAAATAAAATCCTTATTCTAAGAAGTGCTTGTCTAGAAAGGCAGATTGATCCTGTAAATTAACCATGGGACTGGACACTACCAGCTCAGCAGAGACTGTTACTGAAATGCTACTTGTCCCGGGGCAAGCCACTAAGAACCGCATTTTTGAACTTGGGCTACTAACATGAGGCATTGACAACCATATTTCGGCATCTAGGTAGGTGGCTTGATTTTTGCAGGTGCTGAGCACCTGTAGCTTGTACTGTCCTCAACAACTAAAAATCTGACTTCAGTGGGAGCTCAACCTTCCCATGGCACTCCTGTTAACCAATAGTATGTAACACAGTGAATGTTGTCAAAAGGCCACTGGACACCGATTTGTAGATCTCCCAGTATGATGAGCAAGTGAAATTTGTTAATTGAATGTTGCTAATCATGTCTCTTAGCAAAAAGTTTAGTAGTGACTGGACGTCTAACATAGTGAATGCCGGTAAAAATGAGGTTGGATCAGAGGCTAAAATAGAGAAAGAACAAGTTAAAAGTTACTTAGACAAGTTAAATGTCTTCAAGTCACCAGGGCCTGATGAAATGCATCCGAGAATACTCAAGGAGCTGACTGAGAAGATATCGGAGCCATTAGCGATTATCTTTGAAAAGTCAAGGAAGATGGGAGAGATTCAAGAGGATTGGAAAAGGGCAAATATAGTGCCCTTCGATAAAAAGGGGAATAAAGACAACCCGGGGAATTACAGACAAGTCAGCTTAACTTGAGTAACCAGAAAGATAATGGAGCAAACAATTAAGCAATCAATTTGCAAACACCTAAAAGATAATAAGGTGATAACAGTCAGCATGGATTTGTCAAGAACAAATAGTGTCAAACCAACCTAATAGCTTTCTTTGACAGGGTAACAAGCTTTGTGGATAGGGGAGAAGCGGGAGATGTGGTAAATCTTGACTTCAGTAAGGTTTTGGACACTGTCTCGCATGACCTTCTCATAAACAAAGCAGGGAAATATGACCTAGCTGGAGCTACGATAAGGTGGGCGCATAACCAGTTGGAAAGCCATTCCCAGAGAGTAGTTATCAGTGGTTAAAAAATCAAGCTGGAAGGGCATATCGAGTGAGGTCCCTCAGGGATCAGTTCTGAGTCTGGTTTTGTTCAGTATCTTCATAAGTGATTTAGATAATGGCATAGAAAACTTATAAAGTTTGCGGACGATACCAAGCTGGGAGAGGTTGCAAATGCTTTGGAGGGTAGGATTAAAATTCAAAACGATATGGACAAACTGGAGAAATTGTCTGAAGTAGGATGAAATTCAATAAGGACAAATGCAAAGTACTCCACTTAGGGAGGAACAATCAGGTGCACATATAAAAATAGGAAATAACTGCCTAGGAAAGAATACAGCAGAAAGGGATCTGAGAGTAATAGTGGACCACAAGCTAAATATGTGTGAGTGTAACACTGTTGCACACACACACAAAAAAAGCAGCCAACGTCTTGCTAGGATATATTAGAAGGAGTGTTGTAATCAAAACAAGAGAAGTAATTCTTCCACTCTACTCCATGCTGATTAGGCCTCAACTGGAGTATTGTGTCCAGTTCTGGGTGCCACATTTCAGGAAAGATGTGGACAAATTGGAGAAAGTCCAGAGAAGAGCAACACAAATGATTAAAGGTCTAGAAAACATGACCTATGAGAGAAGATTGAAAAAATTGGGTTTGTTTAGTCTGGAGAAGAGAAGACTGAGAGGGGATGATATGACATGATAACAGTTTTCAAGTACATAAAAGTTTGTTACAGGAGGAGGGAGAAAAAAATTTCTCGTTAACCTCTGAGGATAGGACAAGAAGTAATGAGCTTAAATTGCAGCAAGGGAAGTTTAGGTTGGACATTAGGAAAAACTGCCTGTCAGGGTGGTTAAGCACTGGAGTGAATTGCACAGGAAGGGCAACATGGAATCTCCATCACTGGAGATTTTTAAGAGCAGGTTGGACAAACACCTGTCAGGGATGGTCTAGATCAGTGGTTCCCAAACTTGTTCCGCCGCTTGTGCAGGGAAAGCCCCTGGAGGTTACCTGCCGCGTCTGCAGGTTCGGCCGATCGCGGCTCCCAGTAGCCGCAGTTCGCTGCTCCAGGCCAATGGGAGCTGCTGGAAATAGTGAGGGCAGACGGACGTACTGGCCGCCACTTCCAGCAGCTCCCATTAGCCTGGAGCAGCGAACTGCAGCCACTGGGAGCCGCGATCGGCCGAACCTGCGGACGCAGCAGGTAAACAAACTTGCCCAGCTCACCAGGGGCTTTCCCTGCACAAGTGGCGGAACAAGTTTGGGAACCATTGGTCTAGATAATACTTAGTCCTGCCATGAGTGCAGGGGACTGGACTAGATAACCTCTCAAAGTCCCTTCTAGTCCTAGAATTCTATTAAAGAAAGAAGTGGGAGCTATTGGGATTTATCACCTCTGAATAGCAAACCATTTAGTTAAGTGTTTACATATCAATTTTGGAGAGAAACAAGGTGGGTGAGATAATATCTTTATTAGACCAACTTCTACTGTTGAGAGTTACAAAAAATACCTAGTTCATGTTAATGTAGTCCTGTTTGAAACTAGGTACTTTTTAGTTCACACTTGCGAGGTCTACCCAGGACAGTTAGAGTGCAGCACATTAGAGCACTCTACAAATCATCTCTCTCTAATATGCTTTAGTACTCTGTGTAGACAAGTCCTTAGATTGAGGGCATAGTACCTGGATAAGGCATGGAATTCATATGTAATAGTGTTATGAATACGGAGATGTAACTATTTTATGAATGTTGTATGTGACTTGGTCATTGAAATAAAGTTACTGTAGAACTATGGTGGATTATTATAATTTCCTAGGTAGGTTTGATTTATACTGAGCATAATGGAATGTTTCTTATTTGCCTATAGTGCTCGTATGCTGTGGGGTCTATACAGGAATGTGACACATTGGCTTCTGAGGTAAGAACACCCATGCACACACTTGAAAGACAATGGCATCCTTCTAGGCCAAAGTGACGCAGCTGTACTGTCAGGCTAGAGGCCAAAGGTCTATATACAGTTGAAAAGTGTCCCTGTGAAGGATGGGATGAGTCAGCAGGGACTGTCCAGGGTGCTGTCAGTGAGCTGTGACAGGGAAACAAGCTGACACAGATAGAGGCTCTGCAGAAGACTCTATACAGACTTACAGTGGGATCCACAAGGTGCTTAAACCCCCAGACTTAAGTGTCTAGGTCCCAGTTTTGGCTCAACCAAACTCCTGCCAAACCCTGTAGATGCCTAAACTTCCTCAGCACCTAGGTTTTCAGGGTAAAAATTTCCTAGTCTCTGCCCTCTGTGCACATGCACGGTGGCCTCACTCTAGCTGTCTGAACACCTCTCTCCCATCTAAGCTGCAGAGTGATTCACAAACTCAGAGCATAGGTGTTCAGTCAACCATGTAGGTTCTGATACAGTAGGCATGCTCAAAGGCTGCATACCAGATCGGGTCCCGCTCAAAATCCAGCTGGAAGAGGTGGTGTTGGTGTCCACCTTATAATGTTTAGGGCAGTGGTTAGAGCATGCACCAGGGATGTAGGAGACCCAAGTTCAATTCCCCTCTTCTCCTGAGGGAGAAAGGATGTGAGTGCTCTAACCACTGGGCTATGGGGGTATTCTGAGGTGAGGCTCCCTTACTCTTTCCTGTTGCAGCTATTTCATTGTGGATAAATAATGAAACAGTGATTGGAGCACGGCAACTGGACCAGAGGTCTCCCACCTCCAGGTGAACGCCCTAACCTCTGGACTACAGAGTCATTCCTCTCTTTCTCTGGCCCAATGCCTGGTAATCAGGAATGTGTACAGGTATGTTTATTGTTTGTAAGATAGGCTCTCCCTGTAATGCTTTTTGTCCTAAATAAATGATACTTTGCTTTATGGAGGCTGTTTGGCCACTGCTTACCATGGTCATTGCCCTAGAGGGAAGAGAACTGCAGGGTCTGAGCCTAAGTCAGATCTGCTGAGGTAAATCACTATTAGTACAAGGAGACTGTCACCCAGGATCCTATATGATTCCATCTGGAGGCAGGTGATGACTGGAGGCCTGAAAACTGGGAGGGGGGCACTCAGGAACACCAGGAGAGGTCAGAGGTACAGTTGGCCCACTAACTGTGGCAGCACCAGTAACGTAGAAATTTAAAATTGACATTTTTCAAAATTAATAAGAGATTTTAAAAGGATTGGACATTGACATAAATAATGAAAATATCCCAAATTATTTTAGTAGGGAGAGAAAAAAGCAAGAGTAGTTTGGCAAGGATAAGTCCTCATGTCCCAGGTCATAAGCCCTATCCGTTAGAGATTGGCTTAGGAATAAATTACCCTAAGGGTAAATTATTCAATAATTGCCTAATGCTGGGTTTCCTGAACTTGAACTCAGAGCACCTAATGCTGGCCGCTGTCCAGAACAGGATACTGGACCAGGTGGACCTTGGGTCTGATCCACTTTGGCACTTCCTGAGTTCCTAGGAAAGTGTAATTCTCAAGAGGGAATGACAATTTAATATTTTCACTGTGGTTAGCAAATAAAATGGGCAAAGGCCTTGTTTCTGGTTGAATCTTTAACCGACAATCCAGTACATTATCTCATGTATAGGTATAAAAGTGTATCCTGTTCTTCGGCCTAAGGCTATCGCACAATCAAGTTATTGTGTTGTCCAAGAGCAAGTTAAAAAATAAAGAAAGGAATCATGCAGAAAAAAGCTCAGACATCTTATTTTTCAAGCCTTCTGATGACTCATAGTCACACATGTCTGAGTAATCAATTTTCACTAGCACAGTTCCCAAGTTCCCAAGCTGTAACTAAGACAACGCTGTTAGAGACTGAAAAGGATTTTTTTTAAAAAAACAAGTCCTAATTTCCAGGGCTGCCTTTAGAATCAGTTAAATATAAGTAAAGGCCTTTAATGATGCTAGCAAAAGAAGTAAATCTTTGGGCACAACAAAACCTAAGAAAGAGCAACCGTGGCCACTGGGGCAAAATATTCATCTTTCCTCCACTCTGAGCCCATAATTAGGGGATCCTTTAAAAACTAATAGTATGTGACTATGTAATTAAAATCTGTATCCCAATACATATGCACTGAGGTAGAATTACAGTTGCTCAGGAAACCTTGATTCTGGTGTTTCCTAACTTGTGGGTGCTTTACTTTGCAACCTTAAATATTCTTTTAATTAAAAATAAAATATTATGTTCCAGTAGGTCAAAAAAGGGTGCTTTTGTGGTTAAGCCCCAGGATGGGACTCAACTACAATTCATGGCTCTGCCGTAGGCTCCTTTTCTAATCTTGGGCAAGTCATTTTACCTGTCTATGCCTCATTTCCCCCCACCCCTTGTAAAATGGAAATAATGCCATCAAACAAGGTTGATTTTCTCCCACCTTTGTCAGTCTTATCTATTTAGATTGTGAGCTTTCTGGGCAAGCCCTGCTTTTTATTGTGTGTATGTGTACAGCATTTACAATGGAGTCCTAATTTCAACTGGAGTCTAAGCACGACTGTAACACCAATAATAAATAATCATGAAAACAGGAGATCGAGGTGGGTATGCACGTGGACATACACAATTTTGGATTAGAAAGAGAAAAATCAAATTTAGTTTGTTTTCATACATAAATAAGTACTGAAAATATGGGCAAGCTCCATATCTAGATTAGATACCTGATAAATATACTCTGTGTGTATTGGCATCTGCATTTAGTTAGAGGTCATCCATGTCTATGTAATGGTAGATAAGGGTTGTTATTTAACATGCTTTGCTAGAGAATTATTCGTGGGAGCCCATATTTATTGGGGCATTCAAATAAACCCAAATCCTAGAGAATCTTTGTGACCAGCACTAGTACTTTCCAGATTTCATCAACAGTTATTTAACGGTGTCTGAAGTAAAATATTGAAGTTCTACTAAACATGTCAGATAAAACTTGATTAAAATGCTTAGCAGTATTGAACTGGTGGGTTGCTATACCAACAAATGATTTCACATCTCATTATGTTTGGTTCAGGTGGAGTTATCATATTTATGAATTCTTCACTTCCCTGCCCTCTCTCCTGAGAAAATGTACAGTTATGAAAACTAAAAACCACATTGACATTTTCTACTGTATTCTGTAAGGATTTCAGTGCACAGATAAGTTCTCCTTCCAAAAAAGAAATTCCTCCCTCTACTGCTTTCCTCTCTTCCATTCTCTCCAGTGCACGGTGGGTATAGCATGGACATATCCATATTTCCGCCCTTTGTCTATTGGTATTCTCAGAGGTCAGATTGACATTCATGTCACAAGATGAACATTTTTTCTGCAAATGTAAAGGCTAGCTTTATTTTTCTGTTTGTTTCTAATGGGAGTTTAAATCCTTCAGAGAAATTGGTGGGGGCCACCAAAAAAATCTGTTCGGTCAATCCGCATTGTCTGAGTCTTCAGTTAGGCAGATAGAAATAATGTTACTGAGCTATGAGAGCTACCCTATCCTATTAATTCGGACACCTAACACTGATATTTTAAATATCATTAAACTATGACATTGGTGAGACAAGGTGGGTGAGGGACAATATCTTTTATTGGACCAACTTCTGTTGATGAAAGAGACAAGCTTTCGAGCTACTCGGAGCTCTTCTTCAGGTGATCATTTTAGCTGATACATCTAGCTACTCTGAGACTGTAGGTGGAGCTTTGTCCGAATACCACTCGTTTTCCCATCTCTACCCCAGTTATAACTGATTGTTTCCTCTGAAATAGCCAGGAAGAAAGATATTGAACTGAGCATGCTTGGTGCAGGAGATCTGCTTTTGTCTGTAACTGCATGTATCAGACACTACTGAGGTGAAGGACACGTGGCAAAAAGGTATGAACTGACCTGAACTGTTTATTCTTCCAATACTCATGACCCTATTGATAATTTTTCATGACACACACACAGATGGTCGAAAAATTACAATTTTGACAAAAAGGAATATATTTTTGAAAGAAAACAAACAAACAAACCACCACCCATTTTCCCCATTTTTCAACCCCCTGAAGAGTTGATTGAAAAAATTCAAAATTCCAAATTTGTCAGTGAAAGAAGGGGCACATTCTTCTTTAAAATTTTCACCAAAAAATATATCATTTCTTTGAAAAAGCTCTGCACACAATATACCAGATCTAGGGGCTGATCCAAAGTTCATTGAAACAAATGGAAAGATTCCTATTGATTTCAGTAGGCTTTTAATCAGGTTCCTACTATAAAACAGATTTTTATTTTATTCTTTTCCTTTTGTAGGCATATGTATTCTACAACAAATACCTTGAGGGGCTTCATGATCTACCCACCATGTTGATTTAACTGAAGTAGTCAAAGAAAGCTCTGATGTCAAATAGCATCATATGACTGGAAGAGAACTCAAGAGGTTATCTAGTCCCTCCCCCTGCGCTGAAGCAGGACCAAGTAAATCTAGACCATCCCTGACAGCTGTTTGCCTAACCTGTTGTTAAAAAACCTGCAATGGTGGGGATTCTACAATTTCCCTTAACCTATTCCAGTGCTTAACTATCCTTATAGTTACAAAAGATTTTCCTAATATCTAACCTAAATCTCCCTTGCTTACATCTTATCTTACTTGCAGTGATCCTGGAAAACAATTGATTACAACAACAGTCCTTAACATATTTGAAGACTTATCAGATCCCTCTTCATTTCTCTAGACAAAACTGGGCATGTTTACTTAGCCTTTCCTCATAGGCCAGGTTTTCTAAACCTTTTATCGTTTTTGTAGCTCTCCTTTTGACTCTTTCCAGTTTGTCCACATCTTCTCTAAAATGTGGTGCCCAGAATTGGACACAGTATTCCAGCTGAGGCCTCACCAGTGCCAAACACAGCGAGAAGGATATCTCCCATGTCTTACATACAACTCTCATGTTAATACATCCCAGAATTATATCAGCCTTTTTGCAACTGCATACACAGTTGTCTCATTCAATTTGTGATCCACCCTAACTCCCAGATTCTTTCAGCAGTGCTACTGCCTAGCCAGTTATTCTCCATGGTGTAGTTGTGCATTTGTTTTTTCCTTCCTAAGTGCAGTACTTTGCACTTGTCTTTATTAATTTCATCTTGTTGATTTCAGACCAATTCTCCTATTTCTCAGGATCCTTTTCAATTCTAAACCCATCCTCCAAAGTGTTTGCAACCCCTCCCAGTTTGATGTCATCTGCAAACTTTGTAAGCATACTCTCCACTCCAACACTTTCTTTAAAGATTTGGATAATGAACAATACCAGACCCAGGACATACCCCTGTGAAACCTCACTAGATACATCAGCAAACTATTTATAACTCATCTTTAAATGGTTTTTCAACAAGTTGAGCACCCACCTTACAGTAATTTCATCTAGACCACCTTTACTTAGTTTGCTTATGAGAATGTCCTGTAGGATTGTGTCAAAAGCTTTACTAAAAATCAAGATATATTATATCTAGTACTTTTCCTATTTACTAGGCTGATAACCTAGTCAAAGAAGGAAATTAGATTGATCTGGCATGATTTGTTCTTGACAAATCCATGCAGGCTATTATTTATCACCTTATCCTATGGGCTTATGAATTGATTGTTTAATAATTTGTTCCAATATTTCCAGGACCAAAGTTAGACTGATTGATCTATAATTCCCCAGAACCTTGTTGTTCTGATCCTTAAAGATACATTTGTCCTTCTCCAGTCACCCATTCGCCATGAGCTCTTGAATAGAATTGCTGATAGTTCTAAAAGTGCTTCTGCTAGGTCCTTAAATACCCTATGGTG